TAGTGCACTGCTGACATGCCTTATGTCTCAGGTACCGCAAACCCCGTTGTCGACGCCCTCTCTCGCGTCAAATTCACCCGCAGCCTTTGCCTACCATCAACCTTGCTACCATGGCATCAATTCAGACCCAAGATGAAGATTTCAAAAGTATACTGTACTTCACTTCGCCGGAGCTGCAACCTGTTCCCCCTGAACCACAGACAGAACAACCCGTTGCGACACTACCACAGCTTGTCCTAGACCTGTCGTGCTCGTCTCTTTCAGATGCACAGTCGTCGACACCACCAATCACCCTGGTATTGGTGCAAGTGTGAACAAAGATATTCGTAACTGGGCTCGAGCTTGCCTTCACTACCAGCGCTTCAACGTACACCGACACATCTGCAGTCCTATCGGCTCATTCCATACGCCGGATTAGCAGTTCTCACACGTTCAATTAGAGGTGGTATGGCCGTTGCATAGTTTTCGCGGATTCGTTTACATACTGACGTGTGTCGACCGCTTCAATATATAGTCAGAGGCCATCCATGTACCGGACTGAAAGACCGAAACCGTCATCTGTGCGTTGTTGGATGTTTGGGTATCCCACTACTGATGCGCATCTACCATTACTACCGAAGGTGGAACGCCTTTCGAATATTCACATTTCGATAAGTTCTGCAACTTTCTTGGCTGTCGGCGTATTCATACGACGGCATACCACCCTGCGGCTAATGACCTAGTCGAACGCTTGCACCGACTGCTTAAGTCATCTTTATGTGACTGAGTGCAGTGAAAAGATTTTAATGATACTTTGCGTGTCCACAACAGCACCAAAGCTGACGTGCAGTGCGCACAAGCAGAGCTGGTCTATGGCACAGCACTTAAGCTGCCAGAGAAGTTAATTTCGCCCCTCGCTTTCGTGGATACCATCGGTATACTTCGCATCTTCCGTCGCACAACGCATGCATTTGTTGCGTCCGCTCCCTCCTCGTGAGCAGAACATAGATATGAAAATGCACAGTGGACTCTCTAGCTGCGTATGCGTATTCCTTCGCACAGACGCAGCGCGTCGTCCCCTTCAGCTTTCTTACACCGGCAGACTCAAAGTTCTCCAGCGAGCCCCAAAACATCGTTGGCAAACAGCGGTGCCCACAGATCGTCGCAAAGTAGCATGCTTCGAGGACGCACTTCCTAAGGTACCTGATGCCATGGCTCAGGTACACCCAAGTGCAACTGCGTCTACTACACCAATCACTTCAGACTCTTCTGTTACCTTTGACGCTCCGCCAACCCAGTCCAAACCCCAAGTAACTGACCGGCGCGGTAAACTTGTCAGATATGTAGTTCCACTTTCACATTTTAAACGTTTGTTATTTTCCTTAATAATCCTATTTTATAGCAGGCATGCGCTTTATTAACAAAAGCTTTGCAAAGTGACGAAAAGTCCCTAAAATTTTTTGTAAAACCAAAAAAGTACCCCATTTCGCTCCGTATACTTGCGTTGTTTGATCAAGCCTAATTTGGTGTGCCTCGATGAATTCGAGAATAAACGTATAAATTTACGGTGTCACGCTGCCTGTCCCGACCACGCTCCACCCTACACGAGGTTTAGCTTTCAGAATCTGTCCCCCGAAAAATCGTGACATCTTTTGGCCCATCTGTCCGAAGCGTCAGGTCCCATAAACTTGGCTCAAAAGAAGGGCTGTTCCCCACCTTACCGATACTGACAGGCTATTCAGACCCGCGAGCGCTCTCCAAAGATGACATCTGGGTTTCTTCGTGGGACGAGGACCATGGTCTGGAGTGTGGTGGTGGGGGGGGGGAGTGACGCCTTCCAAGCGCACCGTCGGGTCTGTAGCGGTGGAAATGTTCTGTCGGACTTTCTCTGGACTAGCCAGTATCTTCGCAGATTGACCAGCCCGTTCACCGACGATGCACTCCAGTCCACACCCAAATAATAACAGATAATAATGAAGCCTGGACTCGACGAACTCCACTCGCCTCTTTCTGTCTGCTTGCGCCCACTACAACTGCTACCCTACTCTTTCGTCCTCACTTTGTCTCTGCATCTGATATCTACTAAAAGCTTCCATCATTCAGCCTTCTACGGGGATACCCATGTGATGAACATGAATCATTCGCGCTTACAGTACTTTGAGGTATTGGAGTATATTCGCGTTTATATCTTTCGATCATCTATTTGTTTGGCTGTACATACCAATCACTTGCTCTTCTGGTTAGTCACATTGCAACACTACTGTCTGCTTCTGTTTACCTTCCCTCCAATCTTTGTAGTTTTTATCAATACACGTAGGGTCCATACGATCTAACTGTTCTCCCTACTTCCGTACTTGGTATGCCTCTTACGTGCCAACTCTCGAGATTAGCACCCTAGAATAGCAGTGTTATCGTAAAGTGACACTAGCTTTGCTTTGGTTCCGAGTTGCTCTTACTTTATATACTTGTTCAGACGTGTTTTCTGCTTAGGGGTCATAGTTTATTGCGCAGTGTCATTATGCCCGCAATCAGTGAGAAGCAAATTAGCTGTCATCTGCGGTCGTTGACGAGTGTAGTGTACATGAAATATTTAGCCTTCAGCATCGTGTGACAATGGGTGTTATTCTTGTTCGCAGACTCCGATTGTTTATTGGTTGTACTCATGATACATCCGGTTCACTTTCGCTGTCCCCGTGAGTCGCCTTGTTGGACTGCTGTCTGCTCTTGCTTGACTGCTCTCCATACTTTTCAGCTGTTGTCAATACACATTGGATGCAGTCGATATGACTGTTCTCCTTATTCTCGTACCTGGTAAACCTCTTGCGTGTCGCGGTTTGCGACCAGTACCACAGTAGCACCCTACAGGCATGGCCGTCGTCTACAAGAATGTCCAGATTATGTTTTTCAGAGTTTAACTATGTTCAAAAACGTTACAAGACTCCTCAAAGTCTAGATTCATTGTCGAAGTCATAGAGCAATCAGAACTTGAAACTATGGAAACATACCCTAGTAGGTTGGCCGTTTGCTTTTAGCGAGAGCCCTGAGAGCGATTCCAGAAGACAGATCAAGTTGCAGGGAAATGTTTACACGTACAACAAAAGGTTCCCTGTTGCCTAGCCATAAAAAGCGTCACCGTTGCCGCTGTTAGCTAGGGAAACAGAAAATGCACAGCGCACAAGGCGATTGCGCGTTGCAACTGAAGAGAGCGCCAATTGAATATGGCGATGCTCAACTCAAGCAATCGAACTCATCAATCAGTACAGCAATCCGCACCGGTTTCCTAGGTGTACCACCAAATAATTTAGTTATAGGGTTAAACAAGCAAACTGGGGAATCTTCAGACCTCTACAAGTTGCAATTTCTGCTTGGCGACTAAAAATATTATAGGGAGAGCTTTGTTATCGGATTGGACCTGATTTACCATACGGAGGTATGTTTAATCCTTATAGTCTTGAAATCGGTGTTAGTAGCAAGTAAACTCCTACTTGTGAAATTGTTGGGCACGGGTTTGCTTTGTAAATTTTAATACGATTGAACACGCGTAAGTAGAGTTCACTTTTCTTAGACGTTTAAGGGGACAGCCCGTTCCACTCATGCTACACACGTTAAACGAGACACGCTCCACAGTTTCCAGGTGTATATCGTCAGGTATCTGGAAGATGACAACATTTTGAGCTCGGTTTATCCATTCACCAATTTCCGTGGTGAGCGATGAAAAGATCGACGCTGCTTCTTACAAATGATTTGGATCAGATTTGTTAAGCACATACACTGAATATGATACTAATGTTAATTTCTCCGGCACCTGACTGACTTCGTTGAGCTTTTTATTCAATACGGTTATCTCACTTTTGGTTGTGGCTTTTAATGGCAATTGAAAGTGTCAGATTAGGCAATGGAACAGTGCTCTTAGTTTTAGCAGCTTTTGATGGTCGGATCATGTTGTTGTCCATGCCGTCCCCTGCAACCAACGTTGCATTTTGGTCAGAAGAATCCAAACATTTTTGAATAATGAGCTTAGCAGTACTCGGCTTACGGCATGTTAACTGACGTTTGTAGTCAGTGATTGGAGGAAAAGATGGTTTCCTCGGAATCTTAAAGTAAGAAACCAGATGATAAAGCTAACCGATTATCATCTATGCAAACTCAGAAAGATGAGAGCTAAAAATTAGACCACAGAACAGGGATGGAATGAACGTGATGTTAGAAAAAGTGCTACTACGACGTACAATTAATATGGAACACAATTCAACAGATATAAATAAGATCCGAAAAGAAGAGGAACACAAGTGCCAAAACTCATCGTTTTCAAATACTTACCATTCGATTTCCCCACATATGCTGTAGTAACTCGAGTTACTGAGTGATGATTGACCGAACCGCCGCGTCAGTTGCTAACGATCGAATGACTGCGAGGCCCTGAATGATGTGCAGCACAATTGGAAATGCAGGCCTAGACGCGATTGGTCAGCATCAGCTTAACAATGCGGTGTCTTTGGCTGCAAAGTGTGTTGCAGTTACGTACAAAATGTCCGAGTGTTATCAGCTACAGCTGGATGGAGACCCAAGTAAGGAGTGCTCTCGGAAGTGTGCAGTTCGGTTTATATATTAGTGCGGCTTAATTCGTGACTAGTTACAAAGTAAGAAGGCTAGACACTAATATAAATAATAAACTTGTACAAGGGTTAATGATATACATAAGAGAGACTTATGAGTTTGCATAATGACTGTGAGTCCGATTCAGGTTGCGTGCGGTTCTGACTATGCCTGCGGCGGACCTCGAACACGTGAACGGAAGCGTGCACGTCCGCTTCTGCTAGTCGTTTTGTGTGCGCCATGATGCAACATAGGTATGGCAGTGGAGGCGCAATAAAGTGCACTCTCAACAGCCTAGGTTCGTCACGTGCTTTGGTGCACCAGCGTGGTCATTCGTTAGTATTCAAACACTGTGTTGACGCCGGCGTGGATCACGTGGCGCATATCGCGTGGTGTGTGGTTAGGCCCTGCCAAGCAGTTTAGGTGAAAAGTGCAGTGCCACAAACACGAGTGTTTTGAAGTGGCAGACGGACCTAACGCCGCCCACAGAGTGTGATTCGACAAAGCTTCTGCCGGAAATGCAGCAGCGAGGTAAGCAGTGTTGTATGGAGTCCGATGGATAGCCTAGTGAATCCGAGTTGAAGGAGTCCAAGCGCAGCAGTGTACGTTAACATGGTGGTGGAAAATTCGCAAAAAGTCAGAGCGCTGGAACTGTTCGGCCCCCACGCGACTCTTGCTTGACAATAGACATATACAAGCACCTACAGATAAGTACTACATGAAAGGATATGGAAACTGAGAGAGTTACAGTGACTTTGGGGACCAGCGGAAGAGCTGTTTTAACGATAGGTGACGTAACAATACCACCGCCCCAAACAGTAAACAAAATTTACCAACTCGACTCGGAAGAAAATTGGAATGGCGAGTGGGTCGAATGGAGTGAAACCATGTGTTGCGCTCTGACAGCTGACAAAGTTGAAAATGGGAGCAGGGGGCAGCAATGAAATCGTGGAAGCTGAAGCCAATGTTGCCGAGGGTGGCCCCTCTCCATGTGCATTCAACGTGATTGACGGTAGCTGCAGACCTTGAGTGACTCCTCGTGGCAAACACCAGATATTAGGCGTCGCTCTCTGTATAGCTGCGACTTTTGGGTTTCCTGAGTTGCGTGAATCTTTCCACGGTATCATATCCAAAGCCGAGGTTGATTAACCTAAATGAAATGCACACGTGGTGAACAATTTTAGCACTTCTGATGCTGCTATATCAAGAGGATGGCCGAAGGATACTTAAACGTTAGTTCCTGCAATAAACGCCCCCGAGGATAGCGATTTACAACCTCCAAGATACTCAGGTAGCGTAAATGCCATGAATGTCCGATTAAGGATAATGCAGCTCCTTTCCGGGCGGAAGGACAGTGTATACATATGGAGGGCTTCTTCAAACCTCCCAGGAATCAGAGACGTAGACACTAATTTGCCGTCACTGCTCAACTTAGAGTGCGTTGTTCCTCTCAGTTGGATGACACTAAGTCTCTATACCATTTCTCGGCCAAGTTGTCGTCTTGGGCAACAGAATTAATCTGAGGGGGCATCCAACATGAGTCTACTCAATTAATTTGAGCCGTGCGTACGCCACTTACTTGTGCAGATGTGTAGGTGTGCGTGTATAGCCCGTCGACCTAAGTGTCCACGACCAACTGGACTTGGAGATGTCTGCTTTTTTGGTTGCGTCATCTCGTTACAACGCGATGACACAATAGCCCGATACCCAAGTAGCAAGGATGAGGAATTTGCTGTTTCCGTGTTACGTCAGTCACACACTACCCTTGCAACATAGCACAGGATTTCGCGACACTTATCAGTGTCTCCTGTACATAACGCAGGTTGTTGCCATCGGATACCAAAGTCCGTAACTTGCCTCGTCCAGTTAGGTCGACAGGCTATACACGCACACCTACACATCTGCACAAGTAAGTGGCGTACGCACGGCTCAAATTAATTGAGTAGACTCATGTTGGATGCCCCCTCAGATTAATTCTGTTGCCCAAGGCGACAACTTGGCCGAGAAATGGTATAGATGCTCCTGTCGAGCGGATGAAAGACACTGTAAATCCAGCTCCAGCTGAGTGTGTTGGGGGTTCGCTATTTCCATGGTGTGTGCTCATGTGATCCCCGATAGCTTTTATGGGTCTCTGGGACGCGCATCCTGCAACGTCTCACAAGATTCCTGTGACAGAATTTCCGAGATTGTATAGTAAGGGAAACTGGCCGATGGATAGACAGTGCCACGTTATTGACTGTACAAGACGCATTCGGGCCCCAAGATATGCCCGCAATATTGGCTGGAAGTGATTCCAGGTTCATAGTAAAGCAGAATGATGCTAGACTAGCCTTTATACGCTGCACCGAAGATTGTATTGGACTAAAGCCGGAAATCGGAGAGGCATATCCTACCAAGCACACATTAGATTCATGAGCGGATGCAGCGAGGTGCGGCTTGGGTTGCACCTGAAGACACGCTAACAGCGACCCACCAATTGCTGACAGTATATTATTGCCGTCCGATTGCATGTTCGAATTACCAAAGGAAATCGAATCGTCGGGACTAAAGCCGGTTCACAAGTACAAACGGACTGGTAGTTGAAGTAGTTAGTTCGCACGGTCAGTTGAGATAGACGTTCCTAGAACCTCGACAGTGAGGATGAGTAAGAAAATGAGCAACTCAAAGGATGAACTCCGCAATGATTAGTTTCGGTAAGTAAACCACCGGACTGTGCGTCCGGAACCGTAAGACAACACTAGCAATATGCGTCTCAAACACACTGAGAAAGGTTTCGTAGTTGTGTATATCGGTAGTGCAACCGAGGGATGGTGATTTGCTCATGAATTATAGCGGAAACGAGTTGCAAAGGTGTCTGAGAGTACACTGAGTACTTGCAGCAGTAATGCCTTAGGATATGGTGCCCGATGATCTCTTCACGATCGGATTGTGAATCGACTAGATCAACTTACGCAACTGCACATTTAGTACCATCACTGAAGATATCCTCTCCTCTCTAAAGGCAAACCGCAAGTCGGATTTGGGTATATCTAAAGATCCATTGTGACTGGCGTAGGGGTCACTTGAGGGGACTGGCTGAGCTGTGGATCGCATAGGAGAGCCAAAACGTGACGCAGATTGTGCAAACGTTTTTGTTGGAAAAACCCTTGGTGGATAGCCATGGGAGTTGAGTCTCCCAATCGTTAAAGTTCCCATGATCATTTTCGATACATTCACCAAACCTGCGTTCGAAATTCAACAATAGTACCTGAGCCAAAGGAACATCACTGATTTATCCCCGGACTGATATTTGTATGAAAGATAATACCAGTCAAGCTGATCTCTATTGTGCAGATGCCTCAGGATTTGGGGCGTGGAAACCATCCCTTCGGTGGACCGAGTGAAGTGACGCGATCGGCGTCATCAACCCATTGCAAATTGATCTTTTTGGAACATTCCGAAAGGAAACCACCATACAATTTGGTAGACCAAATGATATGTGCCTTCACCAAGGTTTACACAAAAAGTGGGTGCTTACGGTATCTCGGGCAGGTGAATAGGGTTATTTGGAGGTGTGTGAGATGTGGACCTTGAATACATTCGAGTCTAGTTCTAGTGTTCGGTGCACGCGCATATATATCCGTTTGCAGAAACACACATTGAAAAATTCGAAATCTGCGGGGTTATCCGCCACAAGTGGAAAGTGAAATATAAAATCAGACAGCACGCAGGTGTAGTTGAATTCAGTGGCCGCAATCGTGGTGCAAAGAGAAACAAAGATAGTAAAAAGATGCATACCCAATATGAAGAAGAGCGCAAGGCAACGATGACAGGATGTAAATACAAGAGAGAAGTAAACATTGGAAAAGACCGCGTGGTTGCGCCAGTGGTGGAAAATGAAACAGTGAACGCTTGATCTCAAGTGGTCAAACGCATCACAACAAGCGGATACGACAATTAGGCTCGCCACAATAGCAATAAAGAACTTTAAATGGAACAGCATCGACCGTGTAACCATAATCCCACGTCATCTCCTCACCGACTGCGATATTCCTGTGGGCAAAACAGATGAAAAGACTGTTAGGAGAAGAAAGTGGGAATACATAGATAATCAAGTAGCTAACGAACCATCAGTCGGGAGCTTCAAATATTATTTTAGGTCGTCGCGTAACTCAGTACGGAGGGTTGTGTTATAGGTGCGCGGGAAAGGTAACCATAATAAGAAGAGGCGTGAATTATGGCAGCAAGGAAACCTAAAATGTAGTGCAAATGTCGGTGTGGACAATGTTTTTTCATCTGACTATTTATTCGACGATTCTTTTATCTACTAGTAGCTAAGTAACGATTCTGTCGTGGAATTGATCTGATCAAAGGATTAATCAATACATACACCCAAAGTTGAAGAAGTAAAAGACAAGAAATGAGCATGCAAGTGCAGCATGTCCTGCGAAACGAGTTCCCAGGTTCGTTACACCAATCGAACCGCCGGACAAGACATAAACAACTGTTGGTGAGGGCGACTGAGACAGTGCATGACATGATCCAACAATAAAAATTTAAGGATCAAAGAGTACAAAAGAACAGTGGCGAAATAACAGACAACAACAAATAGGTGCGTTATGAACGGTTACCTCTTTGTAAAAAATGCAACTTCAGGAAATCTTGGATCATGACTGTCAATGAACACATTCTGTACAAAAACATTGGGGTTACAAGAGTGGTTAAAGTAACGGCCCAGATTTCCCATCTTTTTGGCATCCATAATATACGGATTCTCGTCTTTGAAATAGGTTCTCGCTGGTAGCCAACCTGGTTGTGCCACTGGGTAGAAACGCCGCGATTGGGAGTGACACTTGTGGCGGTGCGAGTGCAAATGTGAACGTGGTCCTTCCTGTGAGTAGACCGAGGCCGACTCGGAATTTTTAACCGGAGCTGCAGAGGTACGTGGGTCTGGTGCTAAAGTGTGAGAGCAGTGACAACCGAATTGAGAAACCAAGCAATGTGGGATTAGGTAGAATTTCATCTCGCAGTAGGTCATGCAAAGAATGCGAAGGAGGGAAAAAGTGAGGAGTACTAAACAAATAACAAACGGTATTGCCGGGCAAGTGCACAACGGATCTCATATTCGGTGATGGTAAGCAACCGAGTGTGTGTATGGTATGCATGTTGGCATTGTCACAGATAGGTGCATATAACTAGACAAATGTCAAGATGAGCGAACACGCTATGGAAACATCGTATTGAGGCTTAAGAAATTATATACCAATCAGAATATGTAGACAGACATAAATTGTTACTCATGGAGCAACTTAGTCAGACGCTGACAGCCACTGTCAGTTAGGTTACAACAATCAACTGCACATGAACTCGTGGGCGAGAGTTCACCAGCCGTTTAAGCTCAGGTAGCCACAATGCATGAGTGAGACTATTCATGCTGCCGATTCACAGATACCTAAACAGCCTTTAATATCCACATACGGACGTAAATCAAAGGGTATATGGGGGGGTTTGAGAGATAGTTTGAACAAGTTAGTTGGCTCATCCGAACGGCTGGTGAACTCTGACTCACGAGGTCATGAGAAGTCGGTTGTTGTAACCAGGGACGTAGAAGCCTCTTCCAGAAAAACGTTTTCCAGACACGGCGCGTTATCATAAAACAAAAGACAGTGTTCGACAAAAGACAGATTAATGGCATCAAACAAATGTCGCAGCCAGTGCGCACACCTTCGCTTGTTGTAGTATCCGCGTAAAATGGAAAACACTACCAAGGCGACGTTTGTTACGGCGCAGACAACATGCAAATTTCGACCGTGACTATCAGCCACAGTAGGTTTTGATCGGTGCCCCTCCCGTGGTGAACGGCCTTGAGTGAGTGCGCAAGGGATTGAAATTAGATTGCCTACCTCACGTAAGAAGAACAATTCCCGTCGCCTTTCGTTCTCCAGCGTGTTAATGGATTCCGGAACTGTGTGTAAGTTCATCGTTACCAACCGACCGTCTAGATATAAGGCGACGGCACTGGTTTAACCTTAACGTGGAACTCAGACTTCAATCGCAAACTAAGTGTTGAGAAGAGTACTGTTGGTTCTGCAGACACCCACTCAAGCAGAGAGTCGACGTAGCTAGTAGGGCTCTGCGACGGGCACCCGGTATTGTCCGCTCGGTTATACTAATCCCAATACTAGCAACAAACTGGTGCAGATACTCAAGTTTATACTAAGCAAACAGGAAACATGTGTCCAATCGTCACCTTCTTCATGCGCTTGAAGTAATCAATTCCTCACTTCCAATGGGTGGCGCGCATACGGTCCCCTTTATGGCATATCGTGTCGGCAAAATGAACGTTCCATGATGAACTGCGAAAAATATTTGGTCAGATGCGAAACGTCGGGTGCCCAACAAACACATTTACCGGCCATTCATCAAGCCATTTGAATTGATGACGTCCCGGCCGGTTACAAACATATTCCAAGATATCAAGCGTTAAATTGTCTTAATCGAAGCGCAGATTTCGTTTGTATTTGGCTGTGCTGCACGCCATGGTGACAGAGGAAAAGAAGATACTGACGAGCAGACGGCAACTCGGTTATGGAAGGCCATCGTCGATTGTGATAAGGACTTCAATACAGATAATGAGAAGCTCGCTGCTCGAAAACTGGCGTGATGAACTCGTTGTAGAAGACGGTCTGAGTTTCAAAGGAAATGGAGTCTTGATCTCAAAGGCAATGCATCGCAACACCCTGGGAAGGATTATTGGCGCGCACTTGGGAGTGAACAGCTGCGTTGCACATGACAGGGAGTTGATATTCTGGCTTTGGATGGTCAGTCACAATAGAGACTGTGTCGACCAGTCCGATCTGTCGCGTATATGACGTTCGACAAACGAAAGATCCAGGGGCGCACAGAGAGGTTCCAAAAAGACTGTGGCAGAATGTAGTACTTGATCTGTTCACGCATAATAGAGGCAGGTCACTTCAGTGACCATTTTGAGATTGTTGCACTGTCCATGTTTACGCTGCAGTGACCCGGCTGAGTGGTCATTGTGCTTGACATGGAATCCACGAGGAAATAGTACCGGACAACATACCGTAGTTTGTAACGAAGGAGTTCCACGCCTCCAGTGAGAGGTGGGAATTTTCTCATCGGTACCCTAGCCCTAATCACAGCCAGTCGAACGGGAAGGCGGAGACAACAGTAAAAGATGCGAAGAGAATAGCCAATGCTAGAGAGATGAAGGAGGACCTGTATATCATGTTTCCGGGAAGGATCACTCTGTCTACACAAATAACAGTTAACCATCTAAGGATCGTTTAGCCACAAAGTGAGAACTGTGTAGCCTGTTGCCAAAATGCTGCTCAAACCGGAACCACAATCACCGGCGTTGATGCATGGCCGTCTCAAAATAATGCACAAGCGGTATTATGGTCGGGGGTCTAAAGAATTACCATCACTATGGGTCTGCGAAGATGTATGGATACAAAGGATACATGCGGCCGAAAAACGGTGGAGGAGAGTGACGGAAACGCAAAACAAAAAAGTTATGTAGTCGAGGTGCGAAACAATCCGTGTCGGTAAAGAAAAATTCACGCGAAACATCCGTACAAATAAATATTCAACCCATGGCCAATAGTACAATTAGTATAGTGTCACAACGTACAGGAAATAAAATAAACAAACGGAGAGAGAAAAAGAATATAAAACAGTATTCATGAGGATAGTGTCAAAACATGTCCGCCAATGCACCCGGCTTCTTGCCATATCCGAAGGGGTTTCGGACCATGCGTACTCGTGATCCTTGCACTCCCAGCCAGTGAGTAGACAGCGCCTGAGCATAGCTAACTTTGACGTTAGCTCTCCCATGCTTCTGGACCAAATCATGCGTTGGCCACCTTCCTTTCGCTTTTAGCCGACTTCTGCGCGCGCATAGAACGCAGGGCGTGGTAAACGATGAGTAGGCATGTGAAGAACATGCCCAAGCCAAGGAAGTCTGCGCAGTGAAACTATGCTGTTCGGTGGCTGGCAAAGTCTGTCTGGCTTAAAAAATCCTTCGTCGAAAATCCTCATTACTGGTGTGATGTTGCCATCGTACACTGGCAATACTCCGAAGGCAGGCGCAATCCAAAACAGACAGCCTGTCAACGTCCTTTGCGCGACCAGGTCAAGTCCTGCAGCCAAAGAGCAGGACCGCCCTCATCATGGCATCGTAAACTCGACCTTCAGAGAGACTCAGATTGCTTCGACAGCAGAGACAGTGGAGATTAGAAAAAGTAATCCGAGTCTTGCAGACGAGCACAGAAACCACTAGCGTTGAGGCAGCTTCCCAGGTAAACCAAGATGTCTATCACTTCCAAGGAATGACCTGAGAGGATAGGAATAGGAACAGTGCCTAGCTTTTACTGCAGGAAGACGTTGCACTTCGATATGGTGAAGGTCATTCCAAGCTGGGAGACAGACACCTCTAACAGGCACGGCGGCGTGTGAAGAAACGCAAGCTACAGCGATGTCGTCCGCATACTCCAAATCCTGAAGTCCGTCACTCAGAAGCAGCTTGACGCCACTGGGTTCGTAGTCCTCCAGAGCACTCCCCAGGATTTCGTCCATAAAGAAATTGAACAACAAGGTGGATGCAAGGCAACCTTGTCGCGCGCCCCATGATGAAACTAAAAGGGAGGGGGCGCATGTCTGCCGTACACCCGCACTCGGCCAGAGGTTTGGGAGTAGATGGATTGAAGGATGGTGACGTACATCTCGGGCACTCACATTTTTAGACAACTTCAGAGAGCAGCACGGCGAACAGAGTCAAACGCCGATGTATGTCAAAGAGGACAACGATCACTGGTCGGCCAAATGTTTGACGACACATGAATATTTGTCGGAGTGTAGTGTGAGCGATACAACTCTGACCTGAGCGGAAGCCAGCTTGCTCTTCATGTATGCTCTGTTCGGGTAATAGGCTGAGCCTACTTAAAAGCAGAGCAGCGTGCACCTTGAAAGCAACACAAATGAGACTAATCACTGTGGTTAGCGTAGTCAGTTCGGATACTGCTTTTGAAGACGTTATTAGATAAACTTCAGTCAAATGGGATAAGTTAAATGAGCCAAATCTCCTGAAGTAGGGGTGTTAACTGCTGAACAAGTGATGGATCACCATCTTTGAAAAGAGCCGGAGGGAGTTCATCTGGGCCAGGGGTTTCATAGGGCACCAACAGGCGAAGCCCATGAGCGACCTCAGCTTCAGATGGTGATGAAGCATTTAACACTAGGTAACACTGGATTTCAGAATGGGAACCCTTTGGTGTTGCGGACCAAGTAAACTGCTGCTCAAAATGCTCAGCCTAACGTTCAAGTCGGCGTTTTTGACAGTGGATTGGTTCGCCATTGATTTCGTATAAAACTTCGTTTACATTCGGTCTTCTGCCACCAGAGGATCAGATCAGGATGAAAAGCTTAAGAAAATGCACCGAGGTGGCGGCTTGCTCCATAACAATGCCCCGTTGCATCCAGAAGGCTTCGTGATATTCCCGGACAAGCTGTTTGAGCTCAGCGTTAGTAGTCTTTCGTAGTGAATGGTGGTTAATGCCAGCAAGAATTACTCGACGGGCTTCGAGAAGTTGGAGATCGCGCAGAGAACCAGTGGTTGACAGAACTACTTGTGAAAATGCAGACCAGGGTTGCAAAATGGTACATGGCGCCGCGTATAAGTGTGTACAGTGTGCTTCAGTGTCTGTGCATGAGGCAATCTTCAGTCTTGAGGCCGAAGTCAACAAAAATGTGCAGAGAACGTTAGGGGCAGAAAGTTTAGCCACGTCAAGCCGTTTCTGGTAACGCCGTTGGGAGTCACTAAAATGTAGCGCAACCTAGGCCCACACCAGCGGGTGAGCCTAAGTGACACAGGTACTCCAGATTGATTTGCAATCCTGTATGCAGCCACGCAAGCGATAACTGACTGCAATACAGTCAATCTGTGTCCATGGCTGGCCAGGTGATGTGGGTCTCCAGGTGGCGCATTGGCGCTATGATTCCTAAGAGCTAGTCTGGACAGAAAGAGGACAGAAAGGTAAAGCAGCCGATCGCCGTTGTCTGGTCTGCGAGTACTATGGCGCTGTTGAGCACTGAGTTCACGTTCGTCAACTTCAAGTCTACCGACCTACGCGTTCAAGTATTTGACAAGCACCACAATGTCGGTGCGGCGCTATTGATGGAGAATGTCGGTCAGTTGACCATAGAACTCATCCTTAACTGACCCCGAGCTGCATTCTGTAGGAGCGAACGCTGTGACAATGGACAAACAACGTCTGCTGGCTCCGTGCCTGGACAGTGGCACTGATGTTTCAAGTCGGATCGCACAGAGTCGACTGTTGACAGCATGCAGTCCAGCAGCGAGAACTCAGCAAGTGTGTTCAACGAAATCCGCACACCAGCATAACCAGCGGCTTCGGCGGTTGAGTCACCAGAGAGGCGCAATGTGAAAAGGCCAGTGGAACTCCCACACGGTGAAACCAGTCGTAGCGTCATGCCACGGTCTTGTAAACGGATCTCAATGAGGCAACAGACATAAACGGCCGTAGTCTCAAGCGTGCGAGCAAGGGCTGCCTGTGATCCGATCTGCATCAGCGTCCCAACTTTGAAGATTACCAGCTAGAATTGGGAACAGGTCGCTAGAAATGGCTTGCCAACACGATTCGACTCACGCTCAGATCTAAGCTCCTGATGCGAATAGCTAGAATGCTCGTCCAAGCCGGTACGGAGTTGTGGACTTTGGAGGGGAGAGGGAAGACCAAGAATGGAGGGCTGAAGAATCGTGGATTAAAGCGATTAAACGGTGGTGCGGTAAAACGTGGTTTGGCAGGTTCGGCCGTCAGCACCACGGGCGAGAGCGCAAGCGAAGAATTGTCGAGACATGGTTCCATAGGCTGTGTGTGCATGATGTTTCCCGGTTGCCCAGGCAAAGGAAGAGGGTTGACTTAGGGGAACCCACCCGAAGCCTTGGGTCACAAAAGATCTAGCCAGCAAGGTAGAGGGGCGATTGACGCATACTGCGAACCCTTGGGAACCAGCTATTTACGTAAAAATAACAGCTTTGAATAGAAACAAACTACTAAGGACACCTAAAGGGTCCGTGTGAAGCAGCAAGGGGGTCAAGATCCCTTGAAACACCGAACTCGTTACTAGGCACAAAGGCCATTAACAACCAGGTAGCTTATACGCCTTCACAGAAGACAGTGGACTATCGTGGTTGTTTATCCGTCCACCACTAAATACTTACCTTAGAGGCAGTCACATTGGCTTTGACACAGCATTTTACGAGCTCTTGCGGCAATGAATGAGGAACCAAGTGACCAGCCCAGAACCCAGAACACTGCCGATGGTTGCCCGCGACTGCTTATCTACATGAGAACAGTTACCTTCAGAAAGAAGGTATTCCCCAATCCGCAACATGGGGACGCGCCCGGTGGCAAACAGCTCCGCCGAACCAACCAGTGGTCGGTTCACTTCCGGGCGTCAATGTGTGTAAACTCCAGCAAGCGATAAACTCAAGAAGAAAGTATAGGTACCGGAGCAGAAGACCAAAAACGGACTCGCAGCGGGAGGGCATACGAACTTTCAACACCCAAAGAGCCTGAATTGGAAAATGGGTGTGGTGCGAGCAAGAAACTAAAGCGACTAGCAGCCGTTCAGACATGTCAAACGTGTCGTGCTGCCAACCCGAGAGAGCGAATGAAGGAAGCTAATTCGACATGCTCAAGCGGCAAGGTTTACGATGAACACACACACACACACACGCACGCATACACGAAATAAAGCACCATGCAGCGCCAGGTGGGATGACTAACGAATCACCCGATCTCCGCCGCTTTACGGTGTGAAACTTGCCCAGGGTCTCGTTCCGGCCACGGAAATAGGCGGATTGCAAAAGTGCTTCCTGCACAGTACAAGTTGTTCCATATATAAATTGAAAAATGGCACTAAGGAACAATTCAATACGATCTTCTGAATTCACATATCTCGCGTATCTTCTTCAAGTGTTGGCATGCAATAGGCTGAGTAACTGAATTGTGTGCAACGAGAAGAAAAATGTAGTGATAGTGATTCAAGAAAAGCGAGTAACCTCACCGGGGTAAGGCGAGGCTAATCAATCTACTTGTACACAGTGGATGAAACGTTGGAGGTTCGAAGACCGTATACTGAATACTGAGAATAGAAAGCGAGAAGACAAAAGTCTGTGTTGTTTACTCGTAGGTGGATTGGGCACATACGCGGAATCGTCGCTGATTCGTGCGCAATGGCAACATAATGCAGCTCACTATATCTTATCCGGGTGCGATACGTTCCCTGTACCTATAATCTGCAAAGTGGGCGTCGAGGAATCTCTCAAATTTCGACACCGATTTCGCCTCGACTAGCGTCTCCGGCAATTGGTTCCAATATTTCACCACTCGACGCTCGAAGCGTAGAGGGTGAGCGATGCGCTTTAGATCCGATACCACTAGTTTGTACCGGTGTCCTGATGTGCTGTTTGGTGTGCAAACGTACAGCAGCGGCCTCAACATAGGGAAGTGGCCCAAGTGCAATTTCCGGTGAGTCATTATTAGATCAACTCGAAGCCGACGACGTGACAGGTCATACAGCTATGGTCTATTACATCACTCCTCGTACGACATACCCCGTAAACTGGGGATGAGCCGGGTAGCTACATGCTGGGCCCATTCCACTCTCTACACCTCACCTATTGTGATCGGAGAATAGGCGGGTAGGCCGTACTCAAGTACCGGTTTTATCATGGAAGAGAGAAGACGAGTGGCAATGTTTTCAGACCGAGTGCAGAAGCTGCACCTAAACGCCCAAAGCAGTCGTAGTCCGTTTACGTACAGCCTGTTCGTGTTATCGACAGACTGCAGATCACAGCGTGAGAGTACATATAGATCCTTCACGGTACTGGTGGAATGCAGCGGGTGGCCGGCCAGTGTGTACGCACGCCCATTAATACTCCTCCCCAGGCTTAGAAATGAGGACTTGACCGGTAGATCAACTTCTGCAGAACAACGAGATAGGCAGTCGAGGTCCTGCTGAAGGGCGTCAAAGTCGTCTGGAGAATCAACAACCGTCCAAATCTACAAGTCGTCTGAAAACAGTGCACAAAGCGACCGAAAAATCTGAGGCACTTCGTTTATGTGGATCAGGAATAAAACGCATCGAGAGATCAGTCACCTAGTTCCTTCATCAGCAACGATGCACTGATCTGTGACTACTGTAAAGCGATAAAAACTGTAGCAAAGATGGATGGGTTTCTATCAATAACTTTCGAAAGAGAAATCGGACTTCATTTATGGAACACGACACTTTCCCTTGCAGTAACTGGGACCTACACAATTAAAAAAACGGACTTCATGATAGTCAAAACTCTATATTTTATAGCAAAATGCTTGCACTTGCGATGCGAAGTATATCGAACACATGATGAAGTGTCTTCCGAAACCCCGTGTGCCTGTCTGCATAAAGACATGGCAGTAGGGCCCAATCGGCAGTACCAACAGTCCCGTCTTGGAACATCCAAGCCAGAGTGAACAGCAGATTCAAACTAGGAAAGTCTTCTGAGGTTTTTACGTCGCGACAACGTATCCAGCAGAGGCCGAACTCATCAGAATCGGATTGACTCAAATTGGACTGCACAAAGAGAGAGTAATTGCGCACAACCACACTTAACATGGCTGCAACGACGCCTGAGGCAAACCTCAACAACTGACGGTTTTTGAGTGATATGTCAACCAACTGGATGAAGCAGACCTAATCTTACAGAGCATGCGATTACTTTTTTTGTTCTAGATCTGGGTACAACGGCGAGGCTGGATAGTACCAATGAGGTTGGTTAGAGTTGTTTAACTGGGATAAACGAGACAGAACAGGCGGCAAAGAGAGAGCAAATAATCTGTAGATGGATGGTGACAAATAGCGAAGTGTTGAGAAGCTACCAAAATGCCTAGTGGGACAACTTACGTTTGTTGAAAGAAGTCTTCCGGCTGAGGGGTCGTCTCTCCGGTGCACTTTCGTTGCTGACTCTGAGGAGGCAACATGGAGAAGAGATATGCGCTAATAAAGAGTGATGATTGAAACCAATTCATTAGGTCAAGCATACACATCAATCTCTGTTGCTGCAGAAATAACTCTATCTCCAACCCATTCTGTTTCGAACATAATGGCCAACGAGCACATTGCACTTAATCGAGAGACGGTACCTAAGAAACTACGGTGGATAAATTCTAGTAGTCCGATCACACTACCTCCCACTGCCCTCAAGGAACGCGCGAAGTGATTGACCCTGCCCTATGCTAATTTATACACGGCGTGCATGAGAGAGCATACGGTTACTGAAGGTTGGAAAGATGTTAGCATCACACTAACGCCAATGAAATGACAAAACAAATGACGGCCCTTGGCAACATTTCTGGTGGAATGTTTACCGTTGTCACTAAAATTTCCTGCTAAGCATGTTTACAGCTCAGGTCTTCAACCACAGACTGATAAAGGCAGAAACCACAGGTCTGCATTCCCTACTCGCTAGTCTGTCTGGGCATTATGTTATAATGCAATTGTGATGACAGCATGCGGTATTGGACACAACAGAAAAAGTTACTAAAGCTCATAGGAACAACTATGATGCGGGCACGAAAGTGCGTTGGATTCACTTGCCACGACTCATAAGGTCCGAATAACAATACATAACAGCAGTAGGATGTTGGGGGTTGAATGAAAACAAGATACAAAGAAAATGGAATCAGAACAGAAAAGCGCAAAACCAAACGAGATGGAAGGAAAGTTAACAGCTAGATGCAAGGAACCGAATGCAGGAATGCCATTGACTATAACGCGTTCTCCAACTACTGGTGTGGACCATCCCGAGGTCCCATTCAGGAAGACGGCATGCAGCAGCCTGGCAAAGCCTCTCAGTCAATATCTCCGAGACTTTATGCCACGTCATGGACTAGCCACCTCCCGTTTCCGCTCACATTTGGTGCAGCGGTTAAGATTCAGCAAAAACTCGGGCGATGCATCAGAAGGCTTCGCGGCAAAAGTTAATTGATGGCGCTTAGCAATGCTCACCCGGTGTTCCCATCAAACGTGAGCAATACTCCGCAAGACCAAGCATTAAGTGTCTTTACTGCGGACTGATCTACAAGGAAACACCGGTCTTATTCCAGTGTTATACACCCTACCTTTCACTGACAAATTGACATCCTGCCGTCTTCATAGATGGTTGACTATTTGGAAAACCAAAGGACCTTTCTGAAAGTAACTACTTCAGTGAGCTGACCATCAGATACACCACTTATCAATGTAAGCGCTTCAGAGATGCACTTAGAATTCCTACGTTTCAAGTTGGGTGCATAGCATGTGTCAAAGGCATTTTTCATGGGACATTTGAGACGATAACAGTGAACGTTCGCCTTACAAACCTCGTTCATCACTGACAAATTTTGGATCAGTTCATCATGATATCGTTGAATTGCAGACAGCGAGTCCAAATTACAAGCAAAAAGTTTGGAAGTTGGACACTTCCATGAAGCGGGAAGAGTGAGTACCAAGCATGCGCGCACTAAAGTATAGTCAGAATCCAGGCAAGTAATTCAAATTGACCGACAAATTTGGACTGATATGCACCAACTACAGTTGATGGCAATATGGGCGATTTTGGTTCAGATTATCGAGGAATTCGGTAGGCGCCAGGTGAAGTGATGTGTACTGAAAAGCGGTGCTGCTACGATAAAGGTTGTGGTCGGCGCATGGTTCTAAGAATCGATAACTATTATCTGTTCGACGTGCATCGTCTCTGAAGCGGCTTCCTAGGTGTGGTTCACAGTCTGGAAGGTGACACACTAGGGCAACGAAGTCCCCATCAATAATTAGAATGTCAATATTTTTCGCCATACAAGGAAGGGATGAGCTGACGATAGAAATCCTCTTTTATACCCTCTGAACTGCAGTCAGCAGAGGCATAAACGGAGGTGATGGAGACACCTTGTCTACTGATAGTGCTTATCAACCCATTAAAAGTTCAAATACGAATCGCACATTCAGTGGATAGATTGTCTTCACCATGTTTATTGAGGGCGATAAGAATACCGTCAATACATTAAGACACTGACTCAGTATCGCCGGAGGTACAAGGAGTGTAGTCACTGACAAAAGATTCAACAGCAATGAGTCGAAGATTCCTCATGACGCTGTCACCTTGTATGTGTAACTCGGAGACAGAGCACACATCAATAAGAAGACAGTGAAGAGTGGGAATTACTGATGCCTATTGCCCGATCTGATCCAGAGTGCGTACGTTGAAGGATTCAATGAGAAATGAGGTCTTGGTTTGACGGACGAGCAAATGGATCGGTGGAAACAGCTGCGAGATCAGCGACAGTCCGTGGCTCAAAGGACGGGGATCAACAGAGTTGAGTGAGGATAGAAAGAAGAAGAGGGAGTATTGTCGACGTAGTTCAGAGGGCAGATGATACTTCCTGACTGCCCATTCCGAGAAAGGGTTTTGTTTGAGAAACCCTGTCACCATACCATTTTACAGGCATGTTAGCGCATTGCACCAAGCTTTTAGCGTGGCACATTTTCCAAATCGCGTGCTGTGCATTCAACTTAGCGAGGCTAAGAACGCTGTTTTGGCGTCGTTGACACTCTCATTGGTCAGGGGACTTTAGCCAATGTTACACCAGTTGGAAGTCCTGAGCATAAGCGACAGACAGTCCAATGAAAGTGGTCGAGCACCACCTTCTGCGCTGCCTGATGCGCGTCTGAAGGAAACCCCGATGATTTCTCTCCAAACTGAAACCGTCCAATGGATAAGCTGTGAGCCTGTCTAAGGAGGAGATCCTAGCTACCACATGATGCGGAGATTACGCCGTAACCAGTGCGGACGGACATACAAACCAGCACAAGAAGCGGTCTATACTTATTGATCGCTGACCCTCACGTGGTGGTGGCTTATTTCAGCAGCCTAACCATGGTTATGATGGTGGCGTAGACAAGCATTCTTCTAACTGGTATTCCGCACTCCCTTAGGTCTGAGGGAGTCAGGCAGGCGGCGTACCTAGGACAATGTACACCCTAAGTTGAATTAGCAATGGCTGCTAGGCAGTTGGATAATTTGGTGTGATTGTTATTGCGACGATCATGGGAGACATTGTTCCCACTGAAGTAGGTAGACCAACCTGAAGCTGAACAACGAGTGTTCTGTGAGTGCTTACTTCTATCACAGTTGGTGAATAAACACAAACTAAGATGATTCTAAGTGTGGAAGTGCCACGACGTTAGTGAGTGTTCGTTTAACTCCACACTCATGGACGACTTTGTTAAATAGTTATCACTCCAGTGTCAACTGGCATGGCGTTATTTAAAGGTCATAGGAAGGATGCGAAACCTATGAATTCATAGGATAATTAGGCTGTGCTTCCATATGGTCGTCTATAGGTGCTAAGACGCTTTGACAACTGGCTCTCCAAATGGTACCATTACAAGCATAATCAATGCAGATTGAACCTCCCTATTACGTCCATGAACTGGATTGCTATCCTCATGGAATCGGCATTACTAAACAAAGAAACACCTAAAGGGGCTACAAAGACTACCGTATTTATAAATGCCACATAACCTTGCAAAAAAAACGCGGAGACCGATAATTAGTGGCGGCGCACGCATTTTACTCTGATAATTCTGGTGAGTAGTTGGAACAGATAAACACTTTTGTCTCACCCACAGACGTTCCTACAGCATGTTTGCAATCATTTACAAAGGCAGTCGCGCCCACTAATCCTGCTATGGACCACTGTTTCAGCCAGTCTTAGAAGTAGTCATGTATGCACGCTGTGACACATTTTTATCGATTTGGCAATTACTCGGAAACATATTGTCATTGGAAAGTAGGTAACTCCGGAGGCATTGTTAACGGAGGAAAGTTGCTCTAACCTTAGGTTTACAATGCGTATGCAGTGCTTGTTGGCAGGTCATATCAGGGCCGTAGGGTCACCTGGTATTTCAAGCCTATCAATCACATGGAACTGAAGCGTAACTATCATGTCGAAAAAAAGGATTGACATACATCTTACAACAGCAGATCCATGAGTACTGAAGCCGTAACTGATTACCGAAGTGGCCCACCGGTGTGGAGACGAACGAACACTTACTAACGTCGTGTCAACGCCACACTAGGAGCCCTCCTCGTTGGAACAATGGCTACAGATCCAATGCTGCTCTTACCCACCCAGCGAACTTGACCATAGTATACAAAGCGCCGACTACGTCAGCAGTACGTAACTGCACTATTCACATGAGTGTACGCCCAACTGAAACAACACAGCACGGGAACTTTGTAGCTGTAAAGGCTTCAAGATTTCTGTCTGCGTACAAGTCCTAGCTTTACCTACTTCATACGAAGTACTGTATTGTTTCTGATTACTTCACCCTGCCTTAACAATCACATGCATTTCTTAAACGAAATCGCACACGTATCGATTCTCAAGCTTGCCCGCAGTGGCACCATTACACTATGCATACCGTATCACGTGTGGCCAGATATGCAAGCGAGCAAGGCGACCGTACAGCCAACCCTTAAGCCTTCAAAGCTTCTCTTCCAACAGCCTGCAAGCGTTGCAGCCTCAACACAATCAATCCGCGCATTGCTGACTTGACTTGAGAAGGGTCCGGAAGCGTGACTCTCGTCGCGTAAACAGCTCTGTTCAACAAACCATTTCTTGTGGGATGACGTAAAGCAGTCGTGTTCGAGGACTTCTCGCCCATGGAGGACATGAGGTTTGAAAGTCGAACGGCTATGTCTAGAGAGCTACACTCTATACATGCTACCCGTTCTACAAGAATATCGAAGTTAGAGGACTAGCCCGTATTCCTCAACAGGACCGAAACCGAGGAACAGAGGTGTTGCAATCTCATGCTGCGTCAGGCACAATTTAAACAGACAATCTGACCAAGTACCGATAGAAGGCGCGCTAATGGTTTACGCTAAGAGCCGTCTTGTAAATTCTTTAGCTGAGCATAATGCGGATCGAGAGGACTCCAGCATGGCAGACGAGAAGAAACAGCAGCACCCAGTTTCGTTGTTCTTGACTTCATTTACGTCTGCCAAGTCTATATTTGCCCAGTTGAGTTTTTAGCCATCCAACATCCGGCAAGAAAAGCATGGTTCTCCTCGGTAAGCATTGACCGGGCATGCATAACACGTGTCCAAGCCAAGGAAGATTATTCAGCACTGTTTGTTGTTCTAACGAGCTAACCTATCTCTATCTAGTGCTCGCCTACGCACGTCATCATTGCAGACAAGCCTGTCATCCGCAACCAGCAATGCTGCACAGTCGATGATGGTCAAAGACTAGGAGGCGATTCAGATCCTCGGACCGAAGAAGCCGTCTCACTCACAAGAGAGAACGGGTCTCACTGTGGCCTTTCAGACCGAGAGATACCCCCTCCGACACCATATATATCATAAATTCAACAAGGCCGTCCTGAATTTCGCAGCCAAGCGCTCATTGTTGGTAACGCAGAGCCCAAGACAGGTCAACTGGTCAATTACCACTAGTTCCTCATTGTCAAGAGCCAGAGGCTCATCAAGCCCTGCAATAACTGCACTTCGAAAGTGCGAAGCCCATAGTAAGAGATGAGACGCTCCAGAAAGTTTTCAGATTTGAATAAAGGATCGGAGATGAACAAGTATTTTCAGTGGTTCCTCCGCCGACAAGTGAAAGCACATAAGGAATCTAGCAGTGAGGGTACAAGTGAGCAGATTGATTTAAATGAAACAAATCAAGTGACCACTAGATTCGTGAATCGAAGGGCAATTGCGTATCCGATCCAGCGCAACTGGCTTGCACGTTCGCTGTTCAAGGTAGCTGCAGAGTCTGGATAAGTTTCTTTTGGGAACATATGAGAAGCCAAGGCAGGCGAATATTGATTGCTTCGGCTGTCGCATGCATACGGAGGCGTAGGCCTTACGATGGCAACGGGGGTATGCTGTAGATTACCCAGAAGGCGCGAGGTTACTTTTATTTGATGCCGTGTCGAAAAGGTGAAGAAAAATAGAGCTATCAATAGCCCCAATACCCCCTTAAGTTAACCAGCGTGGGTAATGCCCACTGACGCGATTAGACACGTGTCGTGTCGTTCGACCGACACAGGTTGCGCCACACGCGCATTCGAATTGATAGAGGACCACTGAAGCGGTCAGCGGCGGCAGCGTGTCCTCGTTTCGCGCACGGATGAGCGGTTCTATGGAGAAGGTGAGTTGCAGGGTTGCCGCTGGGAAAGTAGATTTAACTGCAGACACCAGGCTTCTAGATAAGCGTTCTGCCGCCGCATCCCGTCTGAAAGGCAGTCTTATGAGTACTTCTTTCTTCTTGACCTTTAAAACCATTAGAGGGCTGAGTTTCTTCTGAATGTTTCTAAAAATGAATCCGTTAGGGTACCCATTTTTACGCAGCATATCCTGAATAAATGAAAGCTCATCTTTCAACCTTTCTTCACTTCATATGTTACGTGCTTCCGATGTAAGATAGCGAATCAAGTTTCGCTTTTGTTGCAGAGGAACAGAGCTGTGGAAGTTCATATATTGTCCACTCCATGTATTTTCTGGTAGACACGTCATTGGATAGAGCCGTCTGTTATTCTGACTAGCAGCACGTCAAGAAACGGTTAAGATTACTTGTTTCCGTCTTACACATAAAATGCATCGCTGTGTGGGCCTGGTTAATATGGCCGAGGACTTTATCTAGGGTGACGTACTTATCACCCATGACAAAGATATCATCTATGTAACGGTGGTAGCATTCAAAGGTTTATCACAGTTTGTAAACTGGCGTTCCTTAATTTCGCTATGCAAATGTTAGCCAACAATGGACCGGGTGGGGACCAAATGACAACGACATCTTTCTGCCAGGTAGTACTTACCAGTAAATAGGAAGATCACATTCCAGGTACACCGCAAAAAGACCCTCGTCAACTCACACCAGGACACACATCTTCATCCGTGAATTCGTTATTTGCTTACACGTGTAAACGACCGTCTTAAGTAGCGGAACATTGGTGAAAAGCGAGATGACGCCGAAAGAGAACATTGTTTTCTCATTTATGTTACAATGTTTGATGTGTTCAGTGGATTGAAAGCTATCCGGAAGGCTGTAGTGTGTTAGCTGTTGTCTTACTGGCTCAAATATTTCAACAATCTTCTGTGCGAGCACATGGTAGGGTGAATTACGTATGAAGAAAACGGGGCGAAGAGTAACGCCGACATTGTGAATCTTCAGTAATCCGTGAAGCATTGGGATATTCGCGCTGCTTAGGTTTAGGCTTTCATAAAGAGAAGGTGAAATATATCCTTTAGTCGGAAGCTTCTACAGGCTTGTAGTAATTTGGCTCTCAACACGTTCCGTCTACTCGCTTTCCCTAATGGAGCAGAAAAAACTTGGTCACATTGCAAAGCAATATAACTACTCATTACATCGACCTGAGCGAGAGTCAGGTAATGATTTCCAATACAAGGTAAGTCGCCGGTGTCATCTATGGAAAAGTCTCACTGATGAATGATTCTTTGGAACAAGTAACAAGGACAAATTAGAAGGGAAAGCGGTAGTTAGCTGCAAATTTGATACTAATTTCTAAGCTACGTGAGTTCATTGTGCTTCCTTGTCAACTCGAACATGCTCATCTAGCTCAAAGCCAATAGCCCATCTGGTCCTATTGCTATCGGAGACAGCATCCTATGACAGTCGTGGCTTGTGGCCATGATGCCGGTAACATAGAATGGGTGTCTTTTAACACAGAATCTGTGGATGACCAGTAATAGGGCAACCCGACAGTGAAATGCCAAAAAAACAAACTGGCTGATTGTAACAAATTTATTGCATATGCAAAACGATATGAGCTAACCACAAAAATATTTGGCAATGGGGATACTTCTACAGAATGAGGTAATCAGGCTCTGGCAATCTGGCACTGAACTAGTGGTTCCCAAAGCATGAGTAATGGAATGATGAGCTAAGCAGGAACTACATCAATGGAACTCTGAAGACCGGGTTACTAGCGACAGATTTTGTACGGATTGCTTAGAGGAGACGGAAACGGAAACGGTTGGTGGTAGCGGTAATTGTAACAGAGTTGGAGCGAAAAAAAGTTCACGTGATCCAAATAATTTACTGTAATCGTCGCCGAATTCAGTGCACATACAAACCGTATGTGACTGCAATGAGCGGACCAATATGGTAGTTATGCAGACGGTGATTGTAAAGTCTGCGACCCGTACATATAAATAGAACGGGATGCTTTCACTCACTTATCAGGACCACTGTCGTTGGACCGCTCCAACTTGCCTCTGCGTCTTACAGATGAGACGCTTGAAACGGAATAAATGCACGAAGTTTGGGAGCGGGAACGTAATAATTTAAGTGTCAGCGGAGGTTGGGGATTCGGAGGATTCTTGAACTCCTTTCTTTCAGCGGGTGATGAGTCCGCAGACGCAGAACTTTGCAACCTATCGAGTGGCAAAACAGATGCTGAATGATGTCTGGAATATGGAAAACGGATTCAATCTGCCGGGCGCAGTTACACGCGACGGAAATAATAGGGCACTTCGTCATACTGCAACAAATTAGCACCAATACAAGCGTTAGAGAATACAGATTCTCACGTTTAAGATGGAACAGTGTGCGAGAAGAATCCGAGCATCGGGGTGAAAAATAGCAACCACTAAACCGGAGAGACAAACGACAAGAGATTGGTTTGTTACGAAGAGGAAAGGAGATGAAAGATCCTGGACCAATCGAACTCGAATGGTTATTCAAGTCGCCAAACCGACAGGTAAACACAATTGCGGAAAAGCATGTGTGACAGGTAAGAGTCAGCGCAGAGAATGAATATCAAGCATCATGGGATCCAGGTGGGGTGTAGATGGAGAAAAAAAGGCATGAAAACAAACTGGTGAGGAAGAGGAGCAACTGTGTCCCGTACGCTAATGATCAAAACGTGGTAAATAAATGCAATCCGATTACAATCGGGCTCCTGATAAAACAGAAGTGTTGGATCACTAACAAGAAAGAAACAGCTGCACCATTTAAGGATTCGTTTATGAGCTTTTAGGACGGAATAAATCTGTGGATCCCATCGCCACGATGTGTGCTGCCAAGAGAGGAAATTGAAACGCAACAAGTAGCGGAAAATGCACAAAACCAATCTGTTGAAGTGCGTCACGAAGGGACTTAAAAGAAAAAGGATATAATCGCTGTGTAAAAACAAAGCACATGAGTAATAGTACCATTGCTATTGAAACCGATTCAAGCAGTATGAGGTCGCTAATCATCTGATTTGTAATATTCCGAAGCCTACGTTAAACCCGACTGAGTCGCATAGATTCTTCACGTCTTTGCCCTATGCTGTAGGCTGGTTACCCTGCAAATACAAACAGTCAGGGCTAAAGTGGGAAAACATCACCCAGACAGAGATGCAACAAACAGACGCGAGAGGAGTACGAGCAAGTCAGTCAGTGTACACGGTGCGAGCTGAACACATGACTCAATGTGAGCACCACGGAGCTGTTGGCTAAGCTCTACACCCCACGGACAGAAGCGTTACTCATACAGTGAAGTTCCCAAGTATGGGTGGTGCAAAGTAAAAATTGGGGGAGGGGGGACAAAGACAATCACATTCACAACTTCTTGAATGCACAGTGATCACAAGTGTGTTGAGGCAGGATCCAGTTTGCCATTTACTGACAACGCTTTCTCTACGGCACGTGCTGCAGAGTAGTGGCGATTATTTGCTGCCAAAGTGGTTCTCACACAACGTGTAACGAAACAGTTCAAAGTCATAATGGGAAACAACCGAATGTGGTTAGGGTACTGAAAGCAGTCGCGACCGAGTCATTAATATATTCCAGTTCAACTGAGTGTATCAACTAAGACACGTTAGTTGAAACGAGGTGAATCCAGTTACCCTGATTATGGAGACAAAAACAATGATATTTCGATGGAAATAGGAAAGAAAACTGTCAGACGGAACGATTTAAAGCCATAAATTGGGAATAAGTACGAGAACGTCATTGAGTTCGCAAAAGTGGTATACCCAAAGGACACCCCATCACTGAAATGGCGAAAAAGAGGTAGGAATGCGACCAAATTAGCCCCGCTTATGCTTTTTATACCATTTAACCATGTGAATGACTAGTCGCATTGAGGTCCCATCCACGTAACCGCATGGTTTTAGTAAACAATGGGTGCCAATGCAGATAAGCTGAAGGTTTGCGATGCACGTGAACTTACCGATGCAAAGGACTTGAAGCGGCAAACAGTCCAATGAGGCAGGAGAATGCCTGTCGTCAAACATCAAATGATGAACTGTAGTCGAGCTTACACCGGTCTCTCACCAGATCAGAGTAGCACATCACTATCCTCAGTGACTAAACGTAGTCTCTAAATGTCTTCAATGAGCCCAGGCCAGGTCATTGATGTATGTGTCAGGGTTTCCTTATTCGGCCGTTACTGTTCACGTTGGAATATTATTTTGCACTACCGTCTGAGGAGTTTATAATTTATTTGTATCTTTGAAACAACTCCTTTTTCTGAACTAGTATAGTCGTTAATCATATCACACTTCGTCAATCTTTGGAAAAGGTTATTGATTAGTAACTCAAATCCAGGCTTCATCGAATGCGGTCCCAGAGTCAGGATTATGAAGGAAAATTCTTGGAAAAAAGCAAAAGTATCGTGATATTTAGCAATCTGGCCTTAGTCGTTGTTCTGTCGATACTTGTCAGTAATGTGCGCTCGCTTCTTGGTAAAATCAGTGATCACAGTGCCCTTATGCAGCGAAACAGGAATCATTCTGTTGCAAGAAACTCGCTTGTATATTGATGTGGAAAATGGAGTTATTCAAATCGATGATTATTTGCCTATTAGGGCTGACGGCCATGAAAAGCCCGTTTCGTAATGATGGCGTTATAACTTACGTTAATCAAACTTAGTGCAATTCAGCTACCGTAACATACACATTCAGAATTCGATAAACTGAAATCTAATTAAAGGAAAAAGGAAATTCTTATAGTCGTTTTCAATCGGTCATCGCTGGAAACGTCTAGATTGCTTCTGAAATATCTGCGTCAGAGTTGAATGCTTTTGATGGCCAAGTTTTTTCAATGCTACTGCCTAAATTAGATTGCTCTGTTTGTATTGATGCTGACGCCTTTAAAAGAAAGGGTACAACATTTCTGAGGACACGGCTTGGTAGATCTAGTGACCTTTTCGACCAGACAAGATACTCAGTTGGACGCCGTATAGACCAACGGTAATTGATTTCCAAACAAAAACGAGTTTCTCTGAACAATTCTGATCACTGTTTTAAAATGTCATCGTATTATTTGCAGCCGATCTAACTTTTTAACGTTGACTAGACGGCTCTACAAGATTACCAAACAGTGAAATTGCACCGTTGAAAATATCAAAAGGTTTCAGACGATATTACTTTTAAATGATTTTCAGTCTTCAACGAGGAAGACCTGTCGCTTCAATATGACCATCTTACAGACTACATTGACATATGTTGTGCTGTTGAAGCGATGTACCTAAGGACGGATATATTTTCATCACCACTGCTAAAGCGATTTCGAAGAATCAGAGTACGGACTTACACGTGCAGGATGGCTACTCGTGTCAAGAGCCTAAGCTCAGTCGTTAAACCCGAGATAAAAGGGAAAAACCACTTATACGTTGAAGTGGTTCTAGCTAACCGTAACTGTTGTGATTTACAGAGGCTTTTGAGGCAGCTCTGTGGTAATAGCGCCTGCAGCTAGAGCGGTGAAGTGGATGTGGACAAACTGAATCCTGACTCAAACAAAGGAAGCGGTGCGGATGCTCTCTCACCGTCAGGTTTGAACGAGTGAGCAGATTCTCTAAAACTACCTTTAACAGATCACTTTAATAAATGATTCACTATGGGTGGAATCCCAGACGTTTGGAAATCGACTAGAACAAACCCAGTAGCAAAAAATGAATCTCAAAAGTATCGTTGGATTAGGCGTACATCTGTGCTTCTGAAAGTTTTTGAAAAACCGTTACTTCCGCCGATTTCTACAGCCATTCCTGCGGATGATATCTACCCATTTGCATGCAGACCCCCCGGCGCTCTACAATGGAGGAAGTAGCATATCATGTTCCTCCTATAGCGTCTCTATTAGACCAGAATCCGTACGGCTTCGCTTCCTTGATTATTCGAATGCATCGATTTTGCTCAAGCTTCTGTCCAAAAATGGAGTTCACTCGTGTGTGTAATTTGATGCGTGATCAAGCGTTGCTCACGGATCTCAGTGGTATAGTGATCAGGACATTAGCTGTGAATCATTAGGCTCTGAGCTCCACGCCAACTCAGGCTATCTCCAACTGATGAGTCCAAATTAGGAGGAAACCGCGGTCATGGTGTGTCAGTGTTGGGATGGGTAACACCGAAATAATTCCTGCTGCGTGACCATTTTACGGATCGTACTCGCTTCACCAAGTTAAACGGTAAGAAACCCTGTTCTCCGGCTGTAGTGTTCTGCAGGGAGCGATTCCAGAAACTTTTCTATTTCCGAAATATGTTAAAGATCTCTTTATGCAAAGCACGCTTATAAGATGCAAATATACTGACGATGTTGTGCTGGAATGTATGGTCCCCACTACTTAGGATTCCTCCTTACCTCAATGCAGGATGGAGGATCCGGTGAAGTGATCGTCATCCAGATCCAATACAGTGATGTAATAAGTTCTTTTCTTTGTAATGAGAATTTGTAGTCATCATACCTTACTGTGAACGAAAATCACATACCCAGTTCTTCCACTGTCAAGTATCTCGGCGCCCTTTTGCCCAGAACCTTCGTTGGTCCACGCATGTCTGCGAAACTTTCCAAAAAGTCAGCGTATGGTACTTTCAGTATAACATACTTTTATATTCAAGTTTGTGACCACTTGAATTTCCCCATTGGTAATACTGCTCTGCTGTCATCTTCCCTAAACTGCTTGTAGAGAACATTCGGACGTCGTGATCCCAATTCCCCTCCATATTACTTTCCCCTACCAAACATTACGACTATACTTCCCCATTTCATCGTGAAACCCCATCTCCGCCTCGTTCAGCCCTACGTTCCACAAAATTGTTATCACCTCGCATTCCCACGATCCCAGATAGCCTCTACACATTTATGTAACTTTGTTTATGATCGTCAACACTTTGCACTGCACCGATTAGGGTCGTTTGGTGATCATCAGCTTTTACCGACTATACCTGTCCGCTGAACCTTTGTCTCCACCGGACGAGCCTGTCTGACCATTTCCTCCTTTATCTATGTGCATCTGTGACTCAGGTGGTGAACGCGCCGCACAGGCCAACTTCACACACCCTTAAGGCTTACCCAATCCGTATCCCTTTTTGGACCGGTGATCAACCAATCTCACTGCTCTACCCGTCTTATAAACACGCCATGTACCTTAGTAGTGTGATTTCGTACAG